AAAAAAAAAAAAAAATCTGAGAATTTTTTCCCCTTCTGCCTGGATGTGTCTCAACCTGTGCTTGATAAATGCTGGTGTAGATTGCCACCAAAATAAATATGTACATAGAGACTTGGGAGAGCAGATGTTGAAATAAATGTTCTGTCTCCTCACCACCTCAGCACATAAGCCTTCCAACACCCTGAAGCTAACTTGGATGGCAGCACACCCTCCAGCAGCCAGAGAGATGAACCAAATGTACACTCGGCCAGCCAGCTCCGACAGAGAATTTGCCAAAGCCCTTAAGCTGTTCTACCACAGCATGAACCAAGCAAGAGGGCAGCTTCTCCGACTGAGACAAGAGAAACCTCCTGTAAGTAACCAGAATCCTGGGAGCAACAGGGTTCTTCTTCCATTAGATTTAGGCATTGGAAAGAACTGTATTTCTTTTTAATTTTTTAATATTTACTTTTGAGAGAGACAGAGCATGAGTGGGGGAGGGGCAGAGAGAGAGGGAGACACAGAATCCGAAGCAGGCTCCGGGCTCTGAGTCATCAGCACAGAGCCCGATGCGGGGCTCGATCGCACGAACCGTGAGATCATGACCTGAGCCGAAGTCGGTCGCTCCACCGACTGAGCCTCCCAGGCCCCCTGGAAAGAACCGCATTTCTTGAGCTGGGGGATGTGTGTGTTCAACAAGAGAGCAGGCGGAGGCCTGAACAGTGTGTCCGCTGCTCTCCTGGGCATCCGTCTCTGCTCTTGCTTTTTTATTCAAGTGCACTGCTGGCTGTTTCCAGGTAGTGATATTCATTGGCTTTATGACTTACACAGTATCCCAGAAACACAGGTTTGGCTTACTGTTATATAAACCAAATAAATACAATTCATCACACTAAAATGCTAGAGGAGGTGCCCCGGGTGGCTCCGTCGGTTAAGCATCCAACTCTCGATTTGGGCTCAGGTCACACATGATCTTGCACACCGTTTGCGGGTTCAAGGCCCGCTTGGGATTCTCTCTCTGCCCCTCCCCTGCTCACATGCTCACTCTCTCTCTTAAATAAGCATTTTTAAAAAAAAGATACTATAGGAGAAAAAGCAAGGTTACTTCAACAGAATCAGAAAAAGCAGGTGACAAAATTCAGCATCTTGCCATGATAAAAACTCTTAGCATATTAGGAATAGAATGGACATCCCTCAATCTGAGGAAGGCAGACTTAAGCACAGAGCAAGCATGATCCCTAATGGTGTAGCGCTGGATGCTTTTTTCCTTTTAATCAGGAAGAAGTCAGGGATGCTAGCCAACTTGACTTCTGTGTGACACTGTACTTGAGCACGAAATACAGGAATAAAGTTGAAAAGGGGAAAAAGTAACAGCAACAATAGCATATGTTCACACAACACTTACTACGTGCTTTACAGTTACTCAATTCTCACAGCCCGATGTCGTCGGTACCATCATTAGCGTTATTTTACAAATGACGGGTCTAAGGCACAAGACAGGTTAAGTAACTTGGGTGAGGACACAACCAGTTGACTAGCAGGACCAACCTCCAAACCCAGCAAGGGTCCCTCCACAGTCTATGTTCTCTCCTACTACCCCATGCTGCCTCTGTTATTATTCTCAGATGACCTGTGTATGCAAATTAAAACCCCAGAAGAATTTATAAATTACTAGAATGACAAAGTTGCTGGAAAGAAAATCGTATATATATACACACACACACACACACACACACACACACATATACATTTGTTTTGTTTTGAGAGAGAGAGAGAGCGTGCACGGGAGGGGCAGAGAGAGAGGCAGCGAGAGAATCCCAAGCAGGCTCCGCACTGTGAGCGCAGAGCCCGATGTGGGGCTCGAACTCACAAACCGCGAGATCGTGACCTGAGCCAAAGCTGGACGCTTAACTGACTGAGCCACCCAGGCGCCCCAAGAAAATCAATATTTAAACATTAACTGCATTTGAGGGGTGCCCGGGTGGCTCACTTGGTTGAGTGTCTTACTCTTGATTTCGGCACAGGTCGTGCTCTCATGGCCCGTGGGCTCCAGCCCCGTGACAGGCCCCGGGCTGACAGTGCAGAGCCTGCTTGGGATTCTCTGTCTCACTCTCTGCCCCTCCCCTGCTCTCTCTGACTCACAATAAATAAGCAAACGTTAAAAAAAAATTAACTGCATTTGAATATAACAGCATCCAACAGCACTGCCTTGTGTAAAAGATGCCATTGATCATTGCATCAAATCCATGAAGTACTTAGGCCTATAGCTAACATAAAACTGTGTTATAAAGCCCGTAAAACTATGGCCTGGTATGGAGAAAATGTTGAACTTCGCTTGAGAGATGTTAACGAAGATCTAAATAAATGGTGAAACGTGCTAGGTGTCCACGGTTTGGAAGATTTGCAATTGCAACTCTTTCGAGTCCCCCTGAGAGTCACTGTAACCCAACCAAATGTAACGGGATCTGACGAGATGATGCTATACTTGAGATGGGATTGCGAAAGCAAAGAACAGCCAAGACCCAAACACAAGCGTAGGAAGCCTCGCCCTACCTGATGCCAAGGCTTAGTTTAACGCTATGGTAATAGACAGCAAAGTATCAGCCCCAGTGCGAATAAGGTAACCAAAGGAGAAGGACAGAAGGCCCGGAAATAGATTCACCCAGGACCAGAGACACGCTATGTGACCGATGAGGGACTGCGGTGAAGGCAGCAAGGGTGGATTTTACAACAAACGGTGCTAGAATTAAGAATACATACCGGGGCGCCTGGGTGGCTCAGTCGGTTAAGCGTCAGACTCTTGATCTCAGCTCAGGTCACGATCTCACAGTTTTGTGAGTTCGAGCCCCGTGTTGGGCTCTGTGCTGACAGTGTGGAGCCTGCCTGCAATCCTTTCTCTCTTCCTCCCACTCTCTCTCTCAAAATAAATACATAAACTTTAAAAATTAAAAAAAAAATGCATACAAATGCATTCCAAAATGAAATTGGAATCTTATCTAAGACTATAGCCAGAAACCAATTTCAGGTGACAACTAAGCACCCAACCGCAAAAGGTAAAAAGCCTAGAGATGATCATGACCTTGCGGTGACAGGACAGGAGAAAACACCCGGCTGTCAAGGGAAACACCGATAGACGCACCTGTACTAAATGGTACACTTTGGCCCAGATACCAAAATAAAGGCAAAAGAGGCCAGGAAAGGTTATTTACACACAACACGTTTAACATGTAATGAACTAAGATCCAAAGCAAAGAACTATACAAACCAAAAAGAAAAACAGCCCAACAGAAAAAAAAAGGAAAAAAAAAGGCCAATAGATACATCAAAGGGTGCTTAACCTCTTGAGTAGTTCGGGAGACACTAATTGAAACCACAGTGAAACGGTATTACAAGCCCACCATGCTGGCAAAACTTAAAGGTCTAAAAATACCCAGCTGTGATGACGGGATGAAGCAACAGAAACCCATGCATTGCCGGGAGGAATTTAAATTGGTTCGACCACTTAGAAAAAAAATTTTTTGCCGCTTACCTAATAAAAGTGGGAAAATGCATCAACCCTAGAAGCCTGCGACTCAGCTCTTCGCAGAGTCAGCTGGTTCTGCAGAGGATTCGGCCCCAAGGCCCCCAAGCAGTGGTTCTCAAGGGTGGTTCCCTGCTAGCAGCTCCAGAATCATCTGGGGTCTTAGAGGTCCAAACCCCAGGGCCCCTGCCAGACCTGCTAAACCAGAGCCCTGGAGTGAGGCCCAGGAGCCCGTGCTTTAACGAGCCCTCCAGGTGATTCTGCCTTGAACTGAAGTCCGAGAACCACCTCACTAGGCTCTCAATGCACGGATTTGTCTCCCACGTACTAGGATGGTTCTAGTTATACACCATTCTTGAGAGAATTGAGGAAATAGTCACTCGGACCATTTCCTATTCTGTGGTTCAGACGAGGGACCGGCTGAAAAATTCTGCAGAAACCCACGCCTGTATGCCCCAGCTGCTCTTAATCCCTCCCTCCTCCATAACAACCCGGCACCGAAAACCCCAGCGGAAGAGAGGTCAGGGAAGCCCCGCCCCCCCGACCGGGGAACCCTAGCCACAAGCCAGTCGATGAATCTCAGCACCACGCGTCAGCGCTGACTTCCAAGTCCACCAAAGATGCCATCCAGTAGGATTCCGTAAATGGACAGGAAACGGGCAAAATATACGGTTCAGGCTGCATTCCAGGTGGCACAAGAAAATGATGATCACGGAAGTCAGGCTAGTCGTGGTTGTTCCTGGGGGAGAGAGGGTGTGACCTGCGGAGGTCTGTGTTGCGTAGGTGTATTCCCTTCAACACATTAAGGGTTCTCGTGTGCGCCTGTCTCTCACAATTGCAGAGAAAGAAAACCTGATGAGGGGAAAGACACTGTAAACAAGGCTAAAAAAAAAAAAAAAAAA